TCTCGTAATCCACAAAAATTAAAAAAAAAAAAAAAATTATCGACACCGAGATCAAATTAGTAGGTCTTTTTTTGATGCTCTATTTTTTATGTAGAGCATGCCTCTTATTATTTCATACTTATAAATTGTAAAACTTCACTTATTGGCAAGATGTTTTTATTTCCATTAGGCTTGAATCCGAGAAGTAAGTCATCTTGTCAGCACACTTCATGTGTCACGACAGGTGAAATCAGGCGTTCGTCAATGTTGGGGCATATGAGGTTAGTTGTATCATCTTAACGCCTGTTCATTTGCCTTGCTTTTGGTGAAAAATAAGGTCGCTTTTAAGCACAAGAGGGCTATCCCGAAAAACGCTGTTTTGAGAAAAATAAATGAAAGGTAACGTTTTTGCCCCTTGTTCAGTTTCTTTAAAAGACATGGAGAGCTTTCTCTAAAACCAAACAAATATACACACAATTTAACCAAACTTCTCCTATAGGTTGAACAATGCCAATTTTTGGTGTAGGTCAAGATTTCGGGAAATCCCCAAAATCTGGGTTAGCCGGCTTGTCCTTAAATGTGACCAATTGTGTCACGACGTGGTGGAATCAGGCGCTCGTCAGTTTTTAGGTATATGAGGTTATTGGTATAATCTTAAAGCTTGTTCATTTGTCTTCCTTTTGGTGAAAAATACATCCGTCTAAGCTGAATAGTAGATAAGATATTTGCGATTGAGGGAAGTCAGGTTCACCTGGTTTCAGAGGTAAAATTAGCTAGAAAATGGCCGTCAAAGTTCGGCAATTTCTATTGATTGTGAGTCCTTGGAAACTGAAACTTTACATTTTTGGCGCATTTAATCAATGTTTTTCAGTACAATTCAAGCAGAAGTTTGTGTCTAAGCCAACCCCCTCCCCCCAAAAAAAAAGAAAAAAAAAGAAAAAAAGATTGCTGAATGGCAAGAGAATATCAATTTCTTAGATTCCATTATTTTCACGAGCGCCCGATTTCACCACGATGCCTCATATATGGGTCATGTGACTCCAGTAGATTTTCAACTCTTCGTGACTCACTGGAGCAGAGGAAGAAAGGACTAACGCTAATCTTAAAGAACAGGGGTAGGCCACGGGAAACATGGAGGAGATGCGTGGAAAGGGAGATGAAAGAAATGAAGCTCACTTGGAACGAGCATGGAATGATGGCTCAGGACA